TGTGCTCAGAAACTAAAGAGACACAAAATCAACACCTTGGAAAAAAAAGGAATAAAATTTCAGAAAGAAATTTTATGTAGAATATGGAACACCGTCATAGTGAGCTAACCGCACAGTCACTGATTTCTAAATTATGTGGGGCTACTGAGAAGAGTTGTTGGGTTCAGAAGGTCACATGGATGGCAGTGTGGTTGGCCACAGATGTCATCCTATATCCATCCTGGCATATTCCTGAAAAACATACTGATCATTTCCTGCGTTCCCATAGTTGGAGGAAACTCTTGCAAATACAAATGGATTAATCAGAGAAATGAATACCTAAAAGGAATTGAAAGACACTTTTCGCAGATCAGATTAGCAGCACCATACATTCACCAAACTGCTTTCCTTTACAGACATGTGATAACAAAGGGCAAGTTTCCCAAACTCTAGAGAGAAGGGCCAGATGCAAATCAGGGTGTTCGATTCAGAAATAGATGACTAGAAATGGAAATAAGAACTCGCCATGTCTAGAGATTCCAAAGTAGTCACAATCATGATGCCCTCCCTTTTATTGTCTTGTCTCCTGTGTTTAGTTGGTCCCCAGGGGCTTGAGAAAGAGCATATTGCTGAGTCTGCCAAAAATGTATCATATATGGAAAATAAACCATATCTAGAAAATAAATTAAATCCAAACATTGTAAATGATGGTGCATTTTCACATTCCAAAAAAAAAAACAAATTGTGGTTATATAGCACTAGGCATTAGAAGTATGCTCAGACTCACTTTGATGTGAATATGTGATTCAATATGTGATAGGTGCCATACTCCTCAACTTATTTCAAGAAGATGTCACATGCAGTTAAATGTTCCCTGGGCTGTTAGATCAAAGCCTAATTCACTCAGTTACCAATATATCATTTTAGAAAGTCACTTAAATTCTATGAACTGCAGGTTCTTCATATGTACAATGGGATTAATAATGCCTGCCCTACAGTGTTATTGTTAAGGATTAAATAAGATCAAGTATGTGAAAAAGTTTGGTTCAGTGCCTGTCACTTAACAGACACCCCATCATGGTCTTTCCCTTCATTCCTTTATTCTTTTCTTAAAATCGGGCATCTAGGGAAAGTTATAGTAACAACAGCTTCTTCAAACAATACAGATTCTGTGAAATCAGGATATTCAGGTCATATTGATTTACTGCCTTCCTTCTGACAAGTACCAATGATAGAATATGGCACATCCGCCTGGAGAAGGATTTGCAGTGTCATAAAAGACAGCGTTTCCTCTTCTGGTCCTCACCACAGCTCTGTGATGTGAGAGTTAGGCGAGAAACTGAGGCTCGGGAAGGCCAAGTGTCACCCCAGAATAAACTATGAGAACTAGAAATTGACTCAAGTCTTCTGACCCAAGCATCCACTAACCCCAGCAGCCTCTTTTTCTGGTTCTCAACACTCTCCCTAAAGCCAAACCCTGAGTACCTCTGGAGGGAAAGAAACCAGCAGCAGGTTTACTTGAGATGTCTTGCTATCTGCAGGTGCCAAGCCCAGGGTTTCCCTTTCACAATCAGTCGTGCTGATGATGCCCTTGTTCTCGTGCTCCTAAGCAGGGTCAGCACAAAAACTGTTATATGAATAGTTGTCGTGATGCTGTATCCTCTATCTATGCTTTGAGTGATTTGGCTATTTTTTTAGTTATATTTAGGAAGTCCAACATGTATCAAGGAAACCATTTAAAAGGGCATGGATAAGATTAATCAAATGCAGTTTATTACTTTTCCATTAGTGGCATCCATAAAGCTGAAAAGAAAGATCCTGAGATAAGAGGATCCTTTGCTTGGGATCCTATAAAAGGAAACCCACCAAAATGCCTATTTCTTTGCTAACACAAAGAGGGGATGCAGAAGAATTACACAGCCTCCAATAACCCTGAGCTGGCAAACATACAGAACTGGCAGATTACTATCATCTGTGCCATCACATAAAAGATGCTCCCAGGTGTTATTTTTTTTTAAATGCTCCACTGCTCTTTGCAAGGAACAGACTTGAGCACAGTCCAGATGGTGATGGATGAACATATTTCTTTGTCCTTCTCCAAGACAGTGTAATTGTGCAGCACGCATGGCAGTCAGTGGTCATTTTTAATATTTAAATGACATCTGAGTTGGAGATTAAAATTTGTAAAGAGCAGTGAGATCTCAGGGAAAAGGATGGGAGGCCACTTCTACTTTCAAATGCCATAAAACAGATGGGCCTCCCATTCCAGAATTAAGAGTTAAAATATTTCAGATTCCTTATAATGCTGGAAGCCTACAGAAGGAAATATCTCTGCGTGTACATCTCTCTCACACATACACACTTATTTTTCATTGCACACTTACAGATCATGAAGTTAACTCCAGAGGGCAAGATTAGATTTTGTTTCTATAAATTGGGGATGTAACCTTAGGGCAAGCATGTAGCTTAAGCAATTAAAGAATGACAGGGGAACACAGCAACAATCCTAAGTGGAGGAAAATAATGATAACTACCTTGATAATCATTATCTTGAAATATCCTCAAACACTTTGCAGAGATGATCTAATTATTCCCCTGCACATCCCTCATGGAAAAGATGCTATTATTTCCATCTTGAGGACAAATATAGTATCTAATCTCAATTTATAAGTGTCATTTCTTCTGAGAACCTTCACTATTTGTTTTCTTGTTCATCTTTATGGATTTGGACACCCCAAATTAACTCATTGTGTAGCATTAGAGGCAGAATAATCTGGGTTTCTATGAATGATTAAAATTCAGGGTTTTCCAAGATGCTTTAATCATATACTATATGAAATTATAAAATGTATACAAATACAGAAATTTAAAAGAATCAGATACAAAATAAATATAACTAGAAAGCCTAGTGCTTTTTCCGAGCTTTCATGGTATATGCACAACCCCTCACTTTGGAATGGGGGGTGGGGGAGGAGAAGACGTAGAGAACTAACATGGTTCTCTTCATCCTCCCTCCCTCAAATAAGCTCTGACAAATGCAGCTTTCACATGAGTTCTACATGAAACTCAAGCATAGGGTAAATAAGCAATGTGAAGAAAATGGAAAGAAGAAAAATAAATGGATAAGGAAACAAGGAGTGGGTAATTGAAACACTGAGCATATCAATGACATGACAGGAGGCTTCTGAAGGGGCTGCATTATTGCTAGGGCTGCTGTAACAAAATACCTCAAACTGGGTAGCTTCAACAAATAGAAATGTATTTTCTCATAGTTCTGGAAGATGGAAGTCCAAGATCAAGATGTTGGTGGGATTGGTTTCTCCTGAGGTCTCTTGTCCTTGACGTGGGAGAAGGGCTGCCTTCCCACTGTGTGTTCTGGTCATTCCTCTGTGAGCACGCATCCCCGGTGTCTCTCTGTGTGTTCCAATTTCCTCTTCTTCTAAGGTCACCAGTCAGACTGGATTACAGCCCAAACTTCACAGCCTCATTTTAACTTAATCATCTATTTTAAGGCCCTGTTTCCAAATATGGTCACATTCTGATGCATGGGGGTAAGGACCTCCACATATGAACTACAGGGAGATACGATTCCGCCCATAAAATGCTTTTATTTAAAGCATCTTCTGCTTTCAGGCAAGCATGATGTTAGAAATATGTAATAACTAAAGCATGAGCCCTTAGGAATGATTTTTAAAAGACAAATTGACATACATTAAAATTTTCAATAGTTTATTTGAGGAAACATGGTTCAGTTCAGGCAGAGCCAAACCAAAAGAGATTTAGAGTGCTCCACCAACAGGAGCTAGGGGAAAGGCTTTCAGAAGAGAAGAGGAGGAGGCAAAGCAAGTAGAGAATTTGATTGGCTACAGCTTAAGTGGTTGCCTTATTTGGCAAAGCCTAGGTGGCTTTTATAATAGGTGGTTCTTAAATTTCGTTTTTTCAGAAAAGTGTATTTACTGGACTTGACTATGGCATAGGTGTTGGCTTGCTTGAATAAGTTATCAAAGCACTAGAGCCAGTCTAATGGCCTCCTTGTTTAATTACTTTAACATGGTCAACAATGCATTTCACTCTAGTGAGTCACATACTTATCACTCAGCTGACCTGACTCACCTACCCTACCTTGTTAGTCTCCTAAGACGATTCCATTCTTTTGCTGGGGGCTTCCTCAAAACAGATTATTGGAGACCTGCCACAGCCTCAAAGGGGAGGCTGCTTTCTCCACAGGTCCCTAAAGTTTGTTGGCATAATAATTCTGACCATGTGCTCACTGAAAAGCCAGCCATTGCTTCTTCTCTCTTCCTGGAGGTGACAAGGGACAAGTCCAGACATTCCTCTTTTCATGTTTTGTGAGAGGTGCTCTTCCCTCAGAGCCTATGCTTTAAGAGGGTTTTCCCAGTAATGATCTGCACCAGATGGCCTCACCAAGAAATGTCTCACAAAGAATGCACACACTTGCTCCAAGCTGGCAGTCTCAGGTCATGCAGTCAGCTGGAAAGTTTGACAGGCTCACCTGCTGCCAGCTGCATTCATTGGGCAAAGGAAAGCAACAAGGATTTCAGGGGCATAGGGCACTGAAAACCTGCAAAGAGAAGTTCTTTCTGAATAGCACAAAACACATGAATATGTTTTCTTACCATTTCCAGAAGAGTTACCATTCAATATCCCCTGACACAGGGCATTTCAGCTTTTTTGTAAGAAATCCCTTTTATTTCTATGACAAATCTCACTGGAGGTGAAGGGAGTAGAAAGCGAGTATTGATTGCATATAACCAGAGCTGGGTGTGAATTTAAGTTTTTTCTATTGATCCATGAGGCACATGAGGGGGCAGATCAGTAGATGAATGATTAATTGTTTAATTATGATTAACTCTTGGAAAACCCTCAGCTTCACCCACTTCTGAAGGTCTCCTACTCACTCAGAGGGAAGGGATGACAGGCTGGGGGAAGAGGGAGTTGGAGAGAGGAAGACCCTCACAGCACAGGTGGTGACAAAATGCGCTTCATTCCTTTCTGTCTAGGGGAAGATGATGACGACGACGAATGTGGGGAGGAGAAGCTGCCCTCATGTTTTGATTATGTAATGCACTTTCTGACGGTGTTCTGGAAGGTCCTCTTCGCCTTCGTCCCCCCTACAGAATACTGGAATGGCTGGGCGTGTTTCATTGTCTCCATCCTCATGATCGGCATACTGACAGCTTTCATTGGAGACCTTGCTTCCCACTTTGGCTGCACCATTGGCCTGAAAGATTCCGTGACTGCGGTGGTGTTTGTCGCGCTTGGAACTTCAGTACCAGGTAGAGAATACATTCATATATTTCCCCCAGAAGCAGAAGACCACTTGTTTTCTTGACCTTTTCTTACCTACAGTTTCAAGGACTGTGATAACAAACCGGGCCTATGAAATATGAGAGCCCAGAAATATAAATACTGTCACTTCCAGAACATTGTCATAGCTCAAGGTTAGAAAGCATGATGACAGGAAAACATTCCCAGAAGGACTGCCTGGAGAGAACAGATGGGTTTATGGATAGATTGATAGGTCTGCTTCTCGTTACAATTAGCACTTCCAGAAACGCAAACCAAAACAAAATTACAGAATCACTTTCAAAACCAAAATTTCTCTTTTATATATTTAGTAAAGTTTGGGTAATTTGTGAAACTCCGTATTTGTTGGGTAACTGAGAAAAATACTTACTGAAGACCTGATACGATAGTCTCTTGACCCAAATATTAATGGGAGTAAATAAAAGAGTAGACATTGATCAGGACAGGGAGAAGGTAATCCAGACCAAAGCAAGATTTGGTGCTCATTTCATGGACGTCCTTTATGCATTCCTTATAAACTGAGTTTTTCTTCCAACCTACAAATGTAGCTCCTTATGTTTGCTCAGACTTCTGAATAACACTTTATCCTCCCAAACATGATGCTAACAGCAGTAATTTTCAAGATTTGGTGGGCACCAGAATTATCTGGGTGCTTGTTTAAAAAAATGCTAATGCCTGTGACCCACCAAAAACCTATGGAATCAGAAGATCTAGAGGAAGAACCCAGAAATGTATTTTAAACTCACAGGTGACCCTGGTTCACATCGGAGCTCATTGTAACTGAAGTACTAGACTACTCCCTGGCACTAGGTGACATCTGGACAGGTACAGAGCCTGAACTTTGAGCAGGAAGATCCGCATTCTCCACCAAGTAGCAGGTCAATGCCGAGTGTTACAGCGGGCCTGGGGAAAGGCAGGGCTGGAGGGGAAGTACAGCCCTGCTGTGACGGAGCCCCTCACTTTCCACATCTGCCACAGCTTTGGTATAAATGGTGTGATTTCTTTGAACACTCGCCATAATTTGCAACCCTGACTTTTAGTTTTGAGTCTAAAAGCAAGTGCAGTTTAAATCATACGTATCTCTTCACTGGAATTCACTAGTTGCTCTTCTCCACTCAGATATTTATCATTTCAGTGACAGTAGATATGTTGCCTAACCTCTCTGAGCCTGTTTATCTGTTAAAGAAGGACAACCACACTTACCTTGTGGCAAGGACTAGAGGAAACCCCTACAAATTATGCATCTGGTAAAGCATCTGGGACAAAGAAGAAATTGGATAAAACAGCAGCTTTGTGATTATTATTTATGTTGAATCCAGACACCAGATTGAAACTGGTCCACCAGTGCACATGGTGTTCCGCAACTCATGGACCATTTGGCAGTCCTCATCAAAAGGACTGGTGTGGTTTTGGCGTCCAAGTGAGTTAACGGAGGAGCCCAGGGACTGAGGGAGCACTTCTCACTCCCGCCTCGGCGAGCAGGGCCACACAGGCTGCCAGCCGACTGCCGACCCTCAGAGCAGAGCAGGCTCCTCGCCACCTCAGCTATGTCCCAGCAGTTTCCCAATAGTCCTTATGTTGATTTTTTTTCCAAAAATGACTAGAAAGTTAGCAAGCAGGAGGAAAAACTTAAAATATTCATATTTTAAGTTACCTTGTTCAGAGAAAATGTACACAGCCAAAGGCACTAAGCATCGTGGTTATCCCTCGCTCTGAGGTTAGTATAGGACATATTATATGTTTGGGGGTCTACTTTACGTTAAGGCATAAATCACTGTATCAAATGATGCCCAAGCTGGGGCACACTGTTGGCCCTGGGTTTAACTCTTGCGCAGAATATGTACAAATCAGAGTAATGATGGCAAAATTATGTCTCTCATGACAGTTACTCAAAATCAGCCTCCCTCTCTGGAAAGTGAGCAGTTGGTCCTACCAAATGCATCTCTTGCTTTCAAAAAAGTGGAAACAATTTTCCTCCATCAAATCCTTGTTCCTAAGAAAAATTTTTAATCTCCCAACTCTCATCTCAATAAGTCAAAACTGGCTCCTTTTTCTATATCCCAGTCTTCCAAAGTGGCTCTGTGCATCTTTTGTATTAATAAACTCTTGAAAAGTGTTTATGATTAAAAAGCCATATGATTAAAAAATTTTTTCTGTGACTTGAAACATACATTACAGTAAACCTTAATGCTTAAAGGTGTGATTTGTTTTGCCACTAAAAACCATCTCAGAACCCGGGGTAGAAGCATTGAGAGGTAAGAAAGCCTGCTGGGGAGAATGCAATGGAATCCTGAGTTGTCTACAGTTTCCCTAAACTGCCATCAATTCTTCCCATCGGAAAACAGATTTCTTTACTGTTAGTGGGAGAATTCCTATAATTTGCTGCGATATTAACTGTGAAGCATGCTCCCTAAACAATATAGTCACAGGCAATCTCAGATAATCATATCTATACAAATAGACATTTTCTCCCCAATAAAAAGCTGTACAAATTGAACAAGATGCTGAACAAACATACTATTTCTGGCTTTATTATTTTTTTCTAGTATTGAATACAGTTGACATGCAATAAATATTTCTGACTTTATTCTTCAATCCTGATGTTTCAATGCAGTGCTTTGTTATAGCTGAGTCCTCAAGAAAAATTGATGCTGTTGTCCCAGATGACAAAGCCCAGTTGCCACAGGCAGAAGACTAATTCTCTTCTCATATTGCCTACCATTAGTCGGCACTGGTCCTGGGGCTCAGCCTTTTTGCTAGGCTAATGCCTTGGCCCTTTTCCTAGCAGAAGGGCTCCTGGCTAGTGGATGATAAACTGCTGCCTCTCCTAGGTGTGACTTAGATTGTTATCTGGTGATGGCCCCAGTGGCACTGAAAACATTCCCCTGCTTCAAGGCAGTATTAAATATGTCTATCTCACTTAAAATACTTTTTGCCATATAGTTCAAAATCTATGGGAAAGATAGCTTATGAGTCTCTGGGTGAGAAAGAGCTTCTTCCTCACACCACTGGTATCAAATGCTCATTATAACTGACTGGCAGAGAAGGACTCCGGGGGTTTTCACAACCCCCTCAACTTCGGGTATGCCTGAAAGAGCTTAAAGACTCACACATGCTAGTACAGGAAGGGCCATCTTTTCCTGAATCACTCTTTTGCAAAGCTACCTATCTGGAGATGAAGGGGCTTCCTGAACATCTTGTTCCACACCTAAATGTTGGAGTGAGCCAGAGCCTGTCTCTTGCCCCCTCTACTCGGTGTACACTCACTCCCCAAGCCAATACATGGTTTCCATGGTTTAAATGCCATCAACATGCCTGTATCTCCAGCCTCGACATTCCTGAGCTCTTGATACACCAACTGCCTTCCCTGTTTCGATGTTGGATGTGTAATTTGCAGCTCAAAATTACCACATCCAAAATAGAACTGTTGATTTCCACTGCTCAACTGTCTTATCCTTCAACCAAACCTATTCTTTCCAGATCATGCCTTTCTCAGGAAAACAGTGTCATCTTCTACCCAGGTGTCCTTGATTCCTTTTCCCTCATCCCCACAGTCAATCCATTTATAACTCTTGCAGGTTTCTCCTCTAAAGTAAATCTTGTTCAGACCCACTTAGCTGTCTACCACCATCCTCCTAGTCCAGGCAGCCGTTCTTTCTCACTCTGATCCCCGTAGTAGCTCCTGTTTTCACGCTTCTACCAGAGAGATCATTTTAAGATATAAATCAGACCACACTTCTGTTTACAATCTTCCAACAACTTTTATTTCACTTACGATAAACTTGAAAAGCATCAATCTGGCTTACAAAGATGTTTGTGATTTGGCCCCTATCGTTCCATTCTGTTTTTCTTTGTCCACGGTTCTCCAGCCTCACTGACCTTTTTACTGTCCACCAAGCACCAAATTTGTTCCTTTCTCGAGGTTGCACTAGCTGTCAAAATGCTCTTCCTCTTTATTTACACAAGACTAGCTCTTTGTCTCCAAGTGTATCTCATTGTAAAGGTCACTTCTTCAAACAAACCTTTCCTAACCACACAATGGCAAGTGGTTCTTCTGTGTTATATCACTTGGTTTACTGTAGAGTATTACTTTCTGAATTTTTTGGTATATTTTTGAATGCTGTCCTCTAACTCTCCACACTGAAATGTAAGCTTCATGAGAGCAGAAATCTTGCCAGTTTTCTGTTATATTCTGGCTCCTAAAATAATGCTTAGCTACATTTAAGTAATGCAGCTGTATGTGTGCATGTGTTTGTAGGGATGTGTTGTATATAGGGATGTGTTTTGTATATAAATGAATATGTACATTTACTCATTTCAGTCAGATGGCTTTCTTCCTAACACCTTCTAGAGACAGCTAAGAATTCCTTATGATTGAGAGAGATGAACAATAGATGTTCTTATAGTGTGACTTATTCTTAAGGAATGGGTATAACTGGGTAGGTTATTGTAGTAAGAAGGGGCAAAGGTAACAAGAGTACTAAGAGTAGCAGAACAGAAACATTTTTCCCTTTCATAATTTTGGCTGTAGTGCAAATTGTGAAGAGGAGCAAGATATTTTTGTCTCTTCTACATTCTTCTCCCTGCTGTCATCCCTGCTTCCAAGACCCAGAACTCAGGCCAGTACTTTTAAAACTTTAGGTATACTTTATGGAAGGCTAACTAGGTGTTTTGCAGCAGCCTGACCTGGGTCCATAACTATGTTACATTACATTGTTTCTATGGAAAACAGGCTCAAAATTCAAGAGAAAAAAATGTAATAAAGGGAACATTTGGAACCCAGCCTTTCCTGCACGAGGGACTACCTGTATCACACATCCTTTTAGTTTATAATTATTTACTTGGGTAAAACTTGGGTAATATTGGGTCAAGATAATCCAGCCTCTATACCACATTCCAAAGAGGGGTTTTCCTTTCATCTCCTGCTTGTACTGGAATCAAATACAAGTAAGCACTCTTCCTTAATTAC